CGGTGCATGTGCGGTGCATGTGCGGTGCATGTGCGGTGCATGTGCGGTGCATGTGCGGTGCATGTGCGGTGCATGTGCGGTGCATGTGCGGTGCATGTGCGGTGCATGTGCGGTGCATGTGCGGTGCATGTGCGGTGCATGTACGGTGCATGTACGGTGTATGTGTAGTGTATGTACGGTGCATGTACGGTGCATGTACGGTGTATGTACAGTGTATGTGTAGTGTATGTACGGTGCATGTACAGTGCATGTACAGTGTATGTACAGTGTATATACCGGTACATGTGTGTTATGTTGCAGAGCGTCTTTGCTAACCTAATGCAAACTAACTGTATAGTACTCTGACTTACATGTACATATAATTTTTCTTCACAATAGTTCACTTTCATTAAATTTGATTCTTTATCCACGTTCATTGAAATGCATATATTTGTGAGTGGAATTAAACTTTTTAAAATAAATGTGAAAACACAGGTGTATATTTTACACTTACACACATGGATACTGTACTGGTCTACGGAGCTGTTTCTACTGTGTGTTTAGGCAGTTCCATGTAGCTGAAGTTCAGAAATATTTTTTAGCTAAACATTTGAGTGAATTTGTGCTGCACAAATTGTATAACAGCCATGGAGAGTTAGTCCCAGAATGTACCCATAGCAATACAGTTAAGTTTGGTTAATAGAAAATTACACAAACAGAGAGCTGTCCAAAAGTCCACCAGAAATTTCAGAATGAAAGTATCAATGAACGTGACTTGTAGAGTGAGTGCAGAAAAACTTTCACCTTATTGACAGATTTGACCTAGGCTCCTATTAAGGCTCCCACCAATATGCATGTACTTACATTTGTAGTACTTCATGGTGCAAGAGGAGCAAATATTTTGGAAGTGTGCAATCATGCCCATCGGACTGATGAAACATTGAGATTGATGAATGGCAGAACACAGATGTGCGTGACTCGTTTCCATACGGTGCATGGAAATCCCTGTCTTGTGTCTGAGCACCAGCGCACTGATACCCGAGGACATATATACACTGTATTTATTTTCATCTCCTTGGCTACGCATGAATGTGTGTCAATAAATTCTGACAGTTTCCTCCTTCCAATGCAGTGTTTTTTGAATGTGTGCAACACATTGTCTAGATGCAGAAGATTAGGAGAATTGACACATTTGACCTGTCTCTGTGTTCAAGTTTTTCAACCTTCTCGTCAGCCCGTGTACTCTCCCGACACACACCAGATTACATGTAGCTGTCTAGCACAGGAGCCTCCAACTCATAAGATGGCATTTAGACACTGCTCGTATTAATGTGGGATTACATATTGCTCGGCCAATGAAAAGGACCATTGCTGCTGTGAATTTCTCAGTGGATGCCTGTTATACATCTCGCAGTCATATTTAAGAAGAGATATGCATGTATGTACATTGTATGGCTTGCCTGAAGTGATTACATGTAAGTGGTTCAGAAACAGATGGCCAGAAAATCTATGTCATTTGTGTTTGTTGTCCAAGGCTATAAAATCATGGCGTACAACGTACCGGTAGTTATAGGTTTTCAGCTTTTTTTTTAGACATGTTTGAAAGAAAAAAGTAGCTTACATGTGTAATTGGAAGTGTTGAGAAATGTTTTGACTCTACTGGTACATGCAGGCCGGATGCACAGTTCTGTTGATTCACTTTTTTTGGTGAAATAGCTACCTATTCAAGCTATTAGGATAGAGCTCTGCAATCGTATCTCGCTGCTTCCTCTTGAAGGGGTTCATCGTGGTTACTGATCGATTGACCAGTAAAAAAAAGGACAACAGTATGAAAGACTGCGCAAACACACCTCAGGAAGAACTGACAGCTGTTATAATATATCACCCAAAAAAAGCACAAGAGGAAAGCATTTTTGCTGGTCAGTTCAAAGTTTATTTCCTAAACAATCTGTGTTCATGTACATGTGTAAATGGAAAAAAAATGGCGCATTACTTAAGTATTCCTAGGGGCAAAGTTCATGAGATGCTGGTAAGGAAGCCAAGAGCATCCTGCAATTCCTAAACAGAGTCTGTCCATGCCTCACATTTTTTTAAGTTTAACTAATTTATTTTAACTAAACCACACATGAAATTCACGCTGCACTGGGAGAGTAGAACGATAAATGTTGAGCCCTGCAGAATATATGCTGACTTTCAAATTGTTTGGAAAAGCTCAGACAGTGCTTCAAGTGGACACTCTTCAGTTTCCGAACAGCAAATATTGCCCTCAAATTCCTCAGCACATCAGAGACAATGCCATGCCTCTCTTATTTTGGAAATTAATTTACTCTGTCAAAGAAGTTATCTTCTTTCATATATCCTCTTTTGTTGGATAAAGTTTCTTACAGTGTCCTTTTTTTTTCATTTGTCTGTGCACACGTGCTATAGCAGTTTATTTCAAAATATTTTCATTCAAATTTGTTCCCCAGAATTTTTTTCCGAATATTTTTTTGGGTTGAAAATTTGAAATTATTGTGAATGGGTGTTAAGTAGTCAAAATGATGGTTTTGTATGGTGCAGGTAATGCCTCAGTCAATCAATCAAATATCCCCAAATTACGTACCAAGTGCATTTAATCTCATCAGCATATCAATTGTAAACTTGAAAAGTGGCCAGTTTAGTGGCAAAAACACTAGGTGGTGCGTTTTACTGTGAATCATCCGTATTTGATAGTACAGTGTACGTACATGTAGCACATTACAGATTTGCTGAATTCGGAATACTTTGGCCATGCGCATATAATGTTGCCAAAAACTTGTGACCCAATACATTGTATACTTCCTTGGATGAAACCTGACTTATTCAATCTGCTGTTGAGAAATTCAGTCCTAAAAGAGGCCTCATGCAGAAATACCATTGAAAAGGAGATTTTTAACCAAAATGAGAAGGTGTAAATGCATGTTAATTAAAAAAAGGTCCTGTTTTAAAAACCGCAAACTCTACACAAGTAATATGACTGTCAAAATCAGTATTTTACCATGTTTTTGTTTGTTTGCTTTTTGTGTTTTTTTTTTTCTGGCAGGTCACGTGCACATAACGGACTTCAACATAGCGACAGTGCTTCAAGAAGGCTGTCTTGCGTCATCCATGTCCGGCACCAAACCATACATGGGTGAGTAGGGAGCAGAGCCCTGATTTAATTTGTGACTGTTCAGTTTTAACGTCGTGGCAATGCAGGATTATTAAATGATTTTTTCTCCCCTCCCGTTCTCTCCCTTTCTCTCCTCAACCCACTTTCCTTGGATGGTTTTCCTGCCTCCCTGTTGTTTGCCTTCCAAGCTGTAACTGTGCTAACTCTCTCCCACTGGACCCTCGACCTGACAGACCCCGATTCTGTCCCTGGCTTCCAGCTTTCCTTTTTTTTTGAGGCAAAGAGTTTCAAAACGTGGCACACAGCACAACTTAATTTCTAGCGGCATTTCTTTGATTGTCAAATAATGCATGCCATTTCATTTCCCCACAGAATTGCTCCAGGTAGACTTGGCTTAACGGGGCCATCATAGAGATACCAGTACATGTATGGCTCAATAGACAGTTTTGGCCTGCTGAAAAAAAATCGTTTCACTGTGACAAAAAAGTCATGGCCCACTTTTCTTGCGGCATTATCTTTAATAAGCTGTGAGGTAATGTGCCTCAGACAGTATGCCAGGATTTCCCTCTTGGAATGTTTGGCACAGCGCTCATATTTGAAATAAATGTATCTGAAAACTCCAGCACCAGTCAGCTTACCATGCATGAACTGTAAAACCACATGATACCTTGGTATTGTTACTGCCAAACAATAAGCGTAATTGGGTCGAGTGGCTCTGGAAAAGGTGTGCTGTTCTTAGTGAGAGAATATTTGTCAACCCATTTTAAATGGAATAAAGGGGCATGTCCACACTGATTGGATTGCGCATACCAGTAATTATGCCAGCAACAATATTCAATACACAATACAGAATATGCACGTAGGTTTGTAGGCAATGGGTTCTTGCTGTTTGATAGATACGGTATGCTGGAAATATTGACACTTTTATGGATATGCAGGTACACATCTACTTGTAAAACTTCATTTCATAGGATCAACGTTACTGTGTAACTTGATTTGGAGGATATTGTATCACTTGCATTTGTGAAAAAATTCCTAATACTGGCTAAGAATCAAAGGCATGCATGTCCCTTCCCCAGTACACTTAGGAACAAATATCACACACTAAAAATATTCTCCAGAAAGAACACAGTTAATTATTTTTTTAGTGAGTTTTTTTGGTGACATTCCTGATACAATCCTACATGTTTGGTTCGTACCACCGTGAAATGATACGTTGAAGATTTCAGAAAATGGCGATCAGAATAATGTACAGGTACTAGTACCTTGTGCATGAAGTTCACACTTTTTGTATGTTTCAGATATAGCAGTGGCAGTTTTAACATTTTTCAACGGCATTTTTTTCCAAATAGTTGTTGTGCAAACGTGCATGTGTATTCAGATATCCCTAATCACGTTTTTTTTTCTGTTGGTTTGTTTTGTTTGTGCCTGATGGCATTACAGGTCCCTCCCTCCAACAATTCTAAAAATGACTTGCTCATTTCTGCCGGTACATTAGACAAGTATAATATTAACTTTATTTTAGCAGTGTGTCGTTTGTACCGGCAGGTATGGATTTTGCCCCCTTTTCCTCGTTCTACGTAGATTGCATTTAACAGCCAGATGAACACCTAACTGAAAGTGAACAAATAAAAATCTCATCAGTTGGGCCATTTCTGACCACTTGAGATTCGATTTTGAACAGTCCGGGAGCGTACTATAGCCGTTTTGGAAATTGATTTTTCAGCCTCTTTTAAATAGAGCGACATTTTTTGGGTTTTAACTGAGCAGTGTACATGTTGCATATATACATCTTGCATTTAAATGAGTTCTTCTGGAAAGTATATGTTGTTTGCTCTTGAACCCGTGTTTTTGACATTTATTGTTGTTTTGTGACTAATACACAAAATATCTGAAAAAACGTTTAGCAGGTTGAGTTACATGTATACATAGGGGAGAAACGATGGTGCATTGTTAGATCCTCAAAGTCTCTTCTCTTGCTGCATTTTTTCTTGTGAACATGTACATGTATCAGTCCACATGTACATTGAAGTCAAATGAAAGATTTAAAGAAAAGAAAAAACGAGAAAGTCTTACAACAGGAAGAACTCTCAAAAAGCCAAACTAGTGAATGACTATCCAAAAGAGGGCATTTTTTGGTACTCGCTGTAAAGGTGCTCCATGAGGCACGCAAGGATATGCGCGTTTGACGATGAGTACGCGTAACTAATTTACTCCGGCATGTATGGTCTTTGCGTACACACAGAACATGTGCAAGAGCCAACTTGTAACTACAGTACATGTCTTTCTTTTCGCTGATTGGAGGTGCACTTCATTTGGGGTGGATTTCTTTGGACATTGCCACATATGGACTGCTACCAAATACTGAAATAAACTTGGTACATGTACATGTATACTCAACCACATGTGTGCCATTCCATCAGGTTTTTACTAACACCTTATCTGTTTAAGAAGTGTAGAGCTCACATGTTTTTACACCTGATGTATCTCTCAAGTGGCTTGCACACATAGAATCTTAGACAGATACTATTTGGGATTGTGTACTTGATGGCTGACAGGTTTGAACGTACACATCAGTGCAGTGTTTCATGAACACATGTATGATGTATGGTCTTGTCATATATTGTACATGTACATTTAAGGGTACACCTTACAGGTATGTGGTGAAGAAAATGTACAGATTCAGTAGATGCATGTCAAGAGCACTACCCATAGCACCTCTTCAAGTTAGCCTGGAAGGTGTTTAATCCCAAATTACCGTCATCTTGCCTCATTATACAAATTGGCTTTTGATAAAGGTAGTTATTGTAAATCTTGTTCCCAAGAGACTTGTGTTCAAGTCTACTTTTCATGGATGGAATGCCAATACACATGTAACAACAGCACACATCTCCATGCACTTTGCAATTTACAATACCTATAGAACCTGTTTATTTTTGCATCCGTGGCAACACGAGTGCAGCCAGGTGTTTGGTGAATAAATTACTTAGCAGGTTGATTTATAAATCACATAGCACACGACACAAGATATTTGTAGGGAAAACATGTAGGTGTGGTGACTATGTCACATCATTTGTACAGTATGTATATACTGGTGTATTGTAAGATTTCAAAGGGCAGAAAACTTGGCCGTCGATAGGCACGTGGGAATGTTCTGGTTGCATAAGTGAATAGTGTTTGTTTGCTTTAAATTTTGGAGGTAAATACCGCACGTTTACCTGGTGTAGTTCTTGATGCAGTAACTGACCTCTGCTGAATCAGTTAGATAAACATTTTTGATATGTATTTCAACACCTTGATGAATTCAAATGGAATTTTCCGAAAAAGTAATCTTGTTTAGAGCTCAATTTGTTTAACTGTTAGTTAGTAAGGACGTGCTATAAGTGGAGCACCGACCCTTTGCTTTGCAGATCAACCAACTTAATTGCATTAGTCACTCCAGCTTCCCATACCTTCCCCACCCCCTCTCCTACCCTCTCCCCTACCCCTTCCCAAACCCACCCACTGCATATCAAGTTCTCTTGATTATCCATCCACACTTCTCTTGGCTAATCATTTGAAAGTTGCCGTGGTTTCCACCACATCGGCAAAATTCAATTTTGTTGTTGTGTGCTCACTTGTTAATTAATCCCTCGAATTGCCATGCGATGGACCCCACAGTTCCTCCTACCCTGTCAACATCAATTGATGCTTGTTGGTTACTATGGTTATGGTCCTCTCAAGGATGGCCGTGCGATGATACCCCTTCTTTTACTAGTCACATAGTATTTTTTTTCCTGTTAGAAAGGGATCATCAGTAATCATTTCCAGGCACACTCGGTCTTTAAATTCCCTGTGATATCTGCCATCCTTGTTAACTCATTACTATTATGCTAAGATGGATTTTTAGCCATTTGTGAGAAACAGACCGTCCTTAAATTCCTGTTGCTTGCATTTTGCTAGCATCAAGCAGCAGCATCTTGCTGTCCGTCTTCTGTAGGTCACAAATATTTCCTCCTTTTCATGTGTGCCTCATTTCCAAAAATAGATTCACAAATGTGCTTGAATAGATTAACGCGTGACAGCGCACTGATGGGCACACCCTTTAAATTTTGGCCACAAAGCAATTTATTTCAGAAGTCGAAGGTGGCTTTCCTACTCATGACACTCCCCATTGGCCTGTCTCAAAGTAAAAAAGGAAATTGTGTCCCTCCCTTGTTCATAATTTGATTTGATGTTAGAAATACTCCTTGCGGGAATCAGTTCTTGTGCTCTGTTGGAACGACTAGATTAATTTGGACAAAACAATCAGCCTGTCTTGAGAGTGAACGCTGTATCTCTCTGCCCCCCCATGAATGAATAAATAAAAGTGTCATCTTTATACCTTTGCTTTATTAAAAGAGAAGCATTTTGTTTTGCATCTGATTTAATATTTACTGAAAAAAATACCTGTAAAAAGCCTTCCCCTGAAAGGTAACAATAACAGTTGTATGTTTGAATTTGTTTTGTCGCAGGGGCATGTGCTCAGGTAATAACCGAGAATCATTTTTTTTCTCCAATTGTTCCTAATGGGAGTCATTTAAAACCTGCCATACTACCATACAAGCAATTTGACTCATGTTGGCTTTCATCGTCATTTCCATTAATGCCATTGAAAGGAAAAAAAACGACCCTCAAAGAAACCTGAATGTGACTTGCAGGTATCTTCTTTAGTGGCAGTCTAGCCGTACATTTGCCTGATAACTGCCCCTTGGTCTTTGCCTTTTAGTTACGCTTTATAAATAAGATTATGATCATGGTCTCTATAGGGATGGTTGGGCATTTTTCCCCTTGGAATGTTCTAATTTTACACGATCTCATCTTCCTTCCAAGTCCTCAGAATGCGAAGCTGTGATTTAAGCCATGGAATCATCATCATCCTTTTTACTCCCTGAAACCTAAGCCTTTCTTTGCGTCATCATCTGTCGGTTGCCCTCCAGGCTACGTTCTTCTAGCTTTTTTTTCTTATTTTGCTGGTTCATCATACAAATTACAGTTGGGATGCACGAGTGACTTCTAGAAAAGTTCTTTTACCAAATTTGCCAATGGGATCAATACATCAAAAAAAAAAACTTCCCATTTCCAATTTTGTCGTCTGCATGTGTAAATCACTTAACCTTCTAACAGTCAGTTTTGTGCCGTTCCACGGCTTGGAGGAGATTTGCCATGGTTCTTGAATTACATGGATAGCATTATTGAATTTTTTTATTGACTTTTTGAATTTTATACAGAGCATACCTTTTCAAGTAAAATTTAGCAGTAAGGAATTTTATGTTTGTCACTTGCAAGGAGCTGAAGCAATCTTGTGACCTCTTTACATAATGGGAACTAAAAAGCCCAGCTCCTGGTTCAGCATCAAGTAAGAACTGATTCCTATTGTCCTTATTTGCTAAAAGTGAATACAATGTATACATTGTATATTTGTAGATCTCCAAATTGTCATGCAAGATCCTACATGGAGCGTCTTTTTTGCTGACTCTTGTTTCCTAAGGGAGTCTGTCGTGCAATCCTATACTTCTGATTTTTTTTACCTTGAGGGAGGATTGGTAAGTTGGGGAAAAGGACGTAAAAATTACTTGCTTCTTCGCAGAAAGATTATCTTTATTTCATGTGTTTCTTCAGCAGGAAATTCCAGTCAAGGTCAGTGGCATATGAAAGCTTTGTTTCCCTCTGTCAGAGCCAAAAATACAGTAGCGGTTGCTCAGACGTAAAAACCATGCCCTAAAATAGCTCCAAGGTGTCTCCTCTGAAGACATAGTAGTGTTCGTGCTCCAACTCTTCCAACCTGTGGCGAGGTTAAATTTCCTTGGAAAGACCCTTTTTCTATTAAGATGCAAAATGTCGCTTTGTTGTCCTCCCCACGCCTGAACAAAATGCCACAAGATGCTGTATTAATTACTTGGAGATACATACCGTAGGCCAACTCATGCTCATGTAGGATATATTTTAATCGATACTGCTTATCAAAAATGGCTGATGCAGGGACAAAACAAGTACTGATGAAATTTTGCATCAGCTATGAGATATTTGTTACTCTCTTGACTGTTTTTATTACTTAATTTAATTTTATTGTTGTCATTATACATGTATGAATATATTCTTCTTGTCAAAATCGTTATTCTGACTATCGATATACATGTACCTGCTATGACATATCTAGTCATCCCCACCATCAGTGTCGTCTTTTTTATAATTGAAGAAAATCAAGCAAGAGCCTGTCAGAACCTGAACGGCCAAAAAATGCGCAGAAACCATGACAGTTAGCAATAGCATAAATAATATTGATTGATATATTTGCACAGATGCAATAGTTTACTATTGCACTGCTCTGCTGCGACTGTTATACAGTTACATATATTTTGAGAATTCAGACATTCTTACAAGATGTACTGTTATGTAGCTTTCCCAATACAGACATCCGTATTAAATGTACATGTACGCGTACCTCAAATATTCCGTATAAATTGGATCATATTTAGTAATTTGTGCCAATTTAACTGAGGGTGCGACAGTGTACAATATGCATGCATTTTTGGCTGTGGCAATATTTTAGATACCAAAATGTTTTCGTATTTTACCTCTAACCCTCTGCCATGTGAAGTTGCTGCACATGAACCTTGAAAAGTAAATGAGTTGATTGTTTTCATGATGGTAAGCACTGAGCATGTCATGTACATGCACCATGATGGTAAGCACTGAGCATGTCATGTACATGCACCATGATGGTAAGCACTGAGCATGTCATGTACATGCACCATTTTTAAACTCAATCAGTTGGCCGTGCGCTTAATAAACCTTGAACATGCACGGATACAGACCGAGTGACAGTAGTGTCTTTTCATGTTTTACTTTGAAACCAAGTGGAAACTTCAGTCAATCAGAAAAAGAAAACTACACCATGTACATGTATTCCATGGTCAGCCGTTGGTCGTGCATGTACACTGTACGTGTATAGTACATGTACATTAGAATTGCATGTACATGTACGCTTCTCATGGAATAATATTAATTGTATAGTTGACATGGATAAAAAAAACAAACCACTTTCCAAGGAGGCGCATGTTTTCATGACTGGCTTTGATGCCGATACCTCGCAGGTCACAGTTGTTCATCATTTATTTTTTTCTTGCATTGCAGCACAGAAATTGATGTGATCATGCTGGAAAAAGTCATTGACTGATTCTGTACTCGTAGCATACATGAACATGTAGGCCTTTATCACGAGGCTGCCATTTTGTCTTGCCCCTGTTTACCGCTTGACAAACATAATACAAATTTACGTATCGATAAGAGGAAACAGACTTTTTTTTTCCTCCAGCCTCAGGTTGGTTACATGGCTGTCAGTGGTAGAAAAACAAGATGGCTGTCCCATGATAAAGGTCTATACCCGGGGGATTAGTGATGAAGACACATGCAGTCATGATAGAGTTTCCCAAAGGTGGTATGAATGTGACTGATGGAGTACTGATGACTTGTAAATGAGAAGTCATGTTGTGGAACATGTAAGCCTGATTGGATAGGCACAACATTGGTACCTGCGTAGACACAGCATTGCCAGTGCAATGAAAATGTGTACTTGTACGTGTACAAAGTAAAAAGTGTGTATATCTGTATAGTTTCACCATACAATGTGCATCTGACCTTTAATTTGTTTTTTTACGATAGATTTTTCTTTCTTGAGAATTTTTACTGTATAAACAGTAGGTCTGTCTTGCAGCATCACACTTCAGTAACTGAGAGAAAATTCAATTACACCACAGAGCTCTGTTATTAGTCCTTCCATTCAGCTCTTGAAAGTGGAAGGCAAAGGAAAAAACGTAATCAATCATGAATTACTCCCAAGAGCAAGAAAGGAAAAAATATGGTTTCAGTCGAATGTGAAAAAAAAGAAGGGGCTTCCTTTGTGTAAGAAAAGGTCATAGCTGAATTTGATGGCATCTCCGGAAGTGCATTCATGTCCACGTACAGTGCGGAGATGTATTGGATCTATCCAACATCATCAGAGATATTAAAGCCATCCTCAGTGTTCAAATATCCCTACTGCCTCTCTCTCCCTCTCTCTCCCTTTGATCTCCATTTAAATTAAAGATACTGGGGTTATAAGTTACACGGAGGGGTAGGAGTGTGTATCCAAATGGCACTGGATTGATGCCAAGTCACCCTGATGGACTTAATTACAGGAAGACGCCTGCCTTTGCTGGAAATCGTCAAAAAACAGAGTGCTAGTTGACTTTTAGAAAGAGAGTGAGATCTGCCAACGGATTTATTATGCCGTAGGAAGGAAATATAGAGATCCTTAATCAAATTGGTAAGGTGAATTTGTAGCTAGCTCACTGGTATCATTGGTGTATAACGAGCTATCATCAAACCTCCAATTTTAACCTGACTTTTCATACAACCTACATGGATGGAGTTAGGATTAATCTTCAGCCTTCAGACATGTACATGTATTTGAGAATCTTCATGAATCTTTAAATAAATCTTGTGCTGCGTAGGTGCCCTCTAGTGCATGTTTGTACTTTCATTTTCAAGGGACATTGAGCCCCATCTGTACCGTACATGTTATCTTAACAACAGCTGTTCTACATTTCTCTTCTTCATATACGGTATGAGTATATGTACCTTTCATGAAGTAAAAACAGATGTTTACATTTGTGTGAAGGTTTCACTTCCAACCGGCTAACTGGTATTCCAGACAGCATTGTAAGTGTATGTATCGGCATAAAGCAGTGTGTTCTTCATGAACTTGATGCTGACTCTGACCTCTCGTGCTTTCTTTCTCTTAATTTCTCCATTTTATAGCCCCAGAGATTTTACAAACGGCATCGGCAGACTCCAAAGGATATTCTTTCCCAGTTGATTGGTGGTCGTTGGGGGTCTGTGCTTATGAAATGCTTCGAGGAAAGGTCAGACAATAATCATGTTTCGTAGTTTTTAAATGTCAATTTTGTCCCAAAACGTTATTTGTACATGTGGCCCTTTTTTCAGAGCAGCAGGATGAGAAAAATCTGCCCGAAAATGGTCCAATATCCTCATTTGTGTTATTCTGTCTTGATGGAATTCAAACATGATCATCAACTCAACCAGCAGGTTTTCATACACTGTAGTTTCCTGAGAGCTTTAGTATTGCTTTTATATATATTAGTGATGGGTCAGGAAAAATGGGTATATGAAGTCAGTATAACAGTATAAGCAAGACCATGTCAACAAAGCCTCATGGATGTTGCTGCACAGCCAAGATGTTCTGAAAGACCCAAGATAAAGAGATACTGCAATAACAAAGTACTGTTTTCACAGTCACGTAGCACATGCCAAGGTGTGGTTTTTCTCACCAAGGTGAAATTTCCTGAAGAAAACAAAATCCCCCCCCTCGATCATTTCAGGAGAGAAAGGTTTTCCCCTCAAGAGGCCTTAGAGCTGAGATCTGTCACCCTGTCAACTGTATGTAGGAATTGTGTTTCCTGGTCTGGAAATGTGTACTGGGCAATATTAGAAGACAATTGCAATTGTGTTTCTCTCGTTACAAAGCCAAAACTGAGGAATTGCAATATGACCACTTTTTACTAGTGTCTTATCATTCACAGGCAGGTCAAAAAGAAAGGGAACTCTTCGGCTGATTTTTGTCAAAATGACTATTGTGGAATTGTTTGGTATTGAGCCCTCCCAGGCTTTGAGTTGCAAGCTTCTCGAGAGCATGAAAAGCATTTTTACAACAAAAAAAACTCTTTTTTGTACTTCCGGTATAACAAGCACAAGTATAAGTTCAAAATAGAGAATCTACATTTGTCGTTAGTTAACCTGTGTGTTACAGTTTAATATTCTCGTGTTCAGTGCTGTGTAGAGAGTACTTGGGAATAAGGATTACAGTACAGTTTCAGCTACCCACAATATTCTCTTGTTCTCCAAGCCCTTCAGTTAGCAGGGCCTGCTAAGTCTCAGGTGTAGCATCACCAGATCCCACACGCAGTACCACCAGAGGTGGCTTTGCGTTCCAGACGATTCAGTTTCCCCTGTAGTGCACTTGATCACTTTCAGCCCGCAAGTGGGTGCAAACAAGCCAGCTGTTATCCCCTGGTACCCTGACCAAATCACTGATGTGCTGAATTAATTGAGTTGAGCCCCAGAAATGACTGATACACATCTTCTTATTTTTCTCCCCGGGTTGTTCAGATTTGCTTTTTTTTCCCTCTTTTTGTTTGCCATCTCATGCAGAGACCGTATGACATCCATTCGAACTCATCAATAGCAGACATCATGCACCTGTATCAGTCCACCCATCCTCATTATCCATCCTCCTGGAATCCTACTCTCTCTGACCTGATTAGACAGGTGAGTCTACCTCCCTCACAACTTCTCCCAGCATAAGCCTCTATTATATCATTGCCTAGGAGCGACAACTTTGCATTTTGAAATAAATGCGGGACCTGCACTAGCTAGGGAGACTGAGTTCATTCACCTGAGAGACTGATAGTCCAAGATCCGATTGATACCAATCCTTGGCTGGAATTTGAGACAGTAATTTTGTTACTGTAATGAAATACACTTACCATCTTCATGAAGACGTCAGGGAGATCAGATGTTTGCCAAGATATATCTGCATTCAATTATGCTGGGGGTTGTTGAGGTGAGTCAGGTGACATGTTCAGTGACGAGTAAGCAGTTTTACAACCATAGTATCCGCCTTGAGCAGGAGCACCCCCTCATCGGTTGAAAAGAGCCATGCTGGTCTTGAGTGTTCATTTTGCTGCTAGCGAAGTGCTTGTAACTATACATTTCATAGTCATCTGTGAGCCAGGAGAGTGCATTTCTGACCCAAGGAGCCGCAGTTGGTAGGAAAATTTCGCCCTCTCTTGGTCTAGCTCGGGGTTCTACATGTACATAAGATGTTTTAGTGTTTCTGCTTCATATTACATGTACAGTTTTGGTGGTACATTGCACATGTACATGCATATGTAGAAATGCTTAATATACAGTACTTCAAACATGTTTAAGATATGTAAATGTATTATGCATGTACATGTACACCCAGCTTTTCGTTGGTTAGTTTCCACAGCTGAAGATTATACCATGTTCATATCTATAAGGTCTTGTTCTGACATTTCAAGTAGATCATGTCCGTTGCGAGATAATTTCATTCAATTAACGTGGACTTTTCTGAGATGTTAACTTTCAGATGTACATGTATGTGTAATACATGTATTTGCCTCTGATCTTTCATTGTGGATCAACTTTGTTTAAGTCTTTAGCCTAAAACAAAATCCTTAGCTTTGAAACAAAGTTCATCAGAATGGATCCCCTTGGCTCTATGTGACCGGATCCCACAAAATGAATCTCATGGCCATTTTACCGAGTCATTTTGTTTAAGTTTACATTTGAAAGAGCAAACTGAGTTTTGCTTTTAATGTCTCGCTCAGTTTGGCAGCCTGACATTATGTGGGTTAAAGTATTGAAGGTTCTATTGATTAACACTATGGAAAATTCTTTTAAGGGCTTTTAAGTCAAGAAGTGACTCTGGTGACTTGTGACTCATTTAGTTAGGTCAGGTCACATGTTTAATTTTATCGCCGGTGTAGCTGTAGAACTGGCATCATCGCTTGAATCCATGATCCCAGCAGATGCAAGGTAATTACTCGTTCACCTGTCACTGGTCTCATGCCCAAGCAATGTAAAAAATAGCTCCAATTAGTGGCTACCTGAGCATGCAGCTCACGTGGCCCTCCTTAGGACTTTCACTCTGTCTTACCCTGGACGCATGCAGATTGGATGTGCCACGGGGCACATAGCAAAGTCAAGAGGGCCTGGATAACAAGCCAAGTAGCTACACTCAGCCCTCCCAATCGAAATGGCGGTGCTAATGAGTTGGGAGACCGGTGGGCCGATGTCGCAATTTTTTTCTTCTGTTGCTCCAGCTTTATAGATTGCTTATCAGGCACCAAGAATATAAACACATGGTCTGCCCCAGTGGCGATACTGGGTGACTTATGAACGACTGTCCGCCAAAAGATGAATCAAATGGAAATGGAGTACTTGGCCCTTCTAATGAAAATTCTTGGTTAAAAAGTTCAATAACCCTCTGGCTTTAGTCCCAAGTTTATGTCACATTTACATTTGTTTAGAGATGTCCAGAACTGTGAAGGATACATGTATTTGAAATTTCTTTCAGTTTTTAACCAATGAGTGTGGAACTGCATGTATGTAGTTGTTGAATAGCATTGGTATTGATGTATGAAAAGTTTGGAAAGTGTGTTCCAAATTCAAAAAATTAAGACTTCAGTTTGCAGTTTTCACATGCCATCACAAAATTTCGCAATTTCCTCCGAAGATTCAGAGCACATGGAAGTATTTTGAGTTTGGAAATCAAAGGAACTGAATTGCAATGTTGGCAAAAATGTTCTGGTGTAATGTTCTACATGTACACATGTCTTACAATTTGAGAGTTGTAAAGTAAAGAACATTGAAAGAAATCGTGTATCTTTTTAAATTGTTAAAAATTTAATCTTCTTGTCAAGATTTGATTCCAGCGTACATTTCACCAGCTTGTCAAAAAGTGATTGGAAGGAGAAAATGCCAAATGAATTGGTTGATACCGTATATCCAGCTAGGACTGTTTAATCAAAATAAACATGGTCTTTGTGGCATATGCACTAGGTACACACTGCCTTCATATTGCTAGGTTTGTGAGGAGATAATAGTTGGGCTGTCACTCTTGCTGGCTGATAACATTACTGGAAGAACACTCCATGAACTGACATTTCATACTCTGCTCACATCGCATTGTGTGTACAGACGTGAAAATGACACACAGATTTGTGGAGGAATGGTAGATTACGTGTATGGGGCTTGGTAAATTCCACCCCGACAAAATGGTTTGCTGAAGAATGATGCTGGTTAAAGGAAGGCTTCTTTCAATACATGTCTTTTTAAAGGTGTTTCAACACACGATAAACCACACCGTGCATCCGAATAGGAATTTGTTTATCTTTGGTTTGGTGAGGTTAATGTACATGTAGTTTCAAAACATGAACAATTTACAAGAACTGATTTTTCTTTTTTGGCAGACATAGACTGCCAAAAAAAATCTGCAACAGCCTTGATGCATATTGTTCCATCAACTGACCAATGAGGCCATCTCATTGACATGTTGGCATTATTGTTTCAGCCCACAAGACCATTAGTGGACTCTGATTTGATTGATTGACCCCTCGTAGTGATGTTTATCATTAATGTGGGAAGATTGTTCGTCATTGGACAGAGAGTGAGGATTTTCCTGCCATAGTTAATGGAAAAGGGATTGTATTTTTTTTTGATTGGTTGATTGTTAATTTGTTTTTGTCATTTCCTTGTCTAATTCCTTTTCTGTTGCACATTGCCAGCTGTGTAAATTTGTGCTAGGGACTGGGGCATGACGTAAATCAAAAATTGCTCGGCCGTGGAAATTGGACGGGGGAGGGGGGAATTTATGTTATGCCCGTGGTCACATAGGCAAACAAATTGTAACAGAAACTACCATTATTTGCTGGATACTTCAAATTGAAAAAGGTGCATGTAGTTTTGAGGTTTGTTTTACTTTTGAGAAATACGAAACTTGAAATGGAATTGGATTTTACAGGTGCATGTATGGTTGTACTGAATTGAGTGTAATCTTTGCAACAACAAATTTCATTGTGAAATGAAACTAAACTGAACAGAACTGAGGTTAGACAGATTTGTATATTTGTTTTAAACAGCAAATAGAGAGAAAGCTGCTTCAGTTGACACAAATGTCAGGGACTGAGTAATTTATCACCAAAGTGCTTTTCTCTCCGGGTGCAAAAGTCCATTTCTATCATTAATTGGGGGCCCCTTCTCTTTGTATTATATTCTTGTCAAATGGCCAATTCAGCCAATCTTAGTTAACCACTAGCACTCCGCTATACATGTACACCCTGGTCCAAGTGCCACATGTTTACTCATAGCTAGTGAAGAAAGACAAATCATTTTTTCCAAGACATTCTGGTGCCTCCAATCATCCACTTTAAACAATGGAAGACCTGAGAATTTTTTTCTAAAGTTCCTTTTGAAAAACTACCGGTAGAGTCTTCCGTTCCAAGTAAAAGGAGCTTATCCTAGAACATATATTTTTTCAGTGGGAGTATGGGGACATTGTCAGGTCCTGTACAAACACAGACCTGTCAGGTTCCCTCTATTCTGATGTCAGAGTGCATTTAATCACATTCTGCATCTGATGCACTGTTAATAAAAGGAGCTTCAGGCATTGTCATCGGTCATGAAGCATTTATGAGCGACAGTTTTTTACCACAACCAGTTCTTCAAATTGTCTCAGAGATGACAGACACATTTATTCTTTTCCCTCCTCTTTTTTCATTTGACCAGCTCTTGGCTTTGGATCCTCAGCAACGGTTGATATCCCTAGCGGCTATGAGCAAGCACCCATTCATGTCGGATGCAGATTGGGACGCCATACTCAACATGAAAATCAAGCCTTCCTTCGTGCCGCCCGTAGGTGTTTATTTTAAGTACATCTTATTGTACGTTTGCTGTCACTTAACTGGGTACTCGTACGGTCACCATAGTCTTTTTTTTCTCTTTGAGGGTATGACAGCCACTCAGTGCGATCCGCAAAGTGATAAGTACGTCAGGATTTTGTATGTCACTATGATGACCTTTTAGGTGAAGCTGATTAGAAAAAGGTTATGTTCACAATCACTACGTGAAACCAGTGACCTTTGCCAAAATTAATGCACGACTCTATCTTTTACCCATCTGCTTGTTAAAGGTCTGACAAAATGGTAAATTTACATGTACATGTGTAAGTACTTTTGACTGCAGGATGGGGAGGATATTTGGATTTTTGCACCTTCAGTGGGATCTCAATTTGGAGAAATTGACTTAATGTTTGCCAGTCCAGTTTCATTTTATATGTGATATGGGCTTTTTTTATACCTCTACTTTTTTAAAGTGGGGAAATAAAAAATCTGTTATGTCAGAATGTACATATGATTGCATGGGTCCAAGTCCAAAGTGTATTTTTTTTTCCTTTTAATAACAAGTGAACAGCGACTGAATGGTCAATAATTGAGAGTACATTGTTCTCCGGCACAATCTTTTTGACTAAATAAACTTCGTCTCGGGACGGAATCGGTAATCGAAGGAGAGCTCCTCGGTCTCTGAACAGATTGACTTTGACGGATGCTTTTAGCTGATGAATTTCCAAAGCAAACATTTGGCAGGAAGAGCGGCAAAGTTTCCCTGACTACCTTCATGTAAGAAAATTGTAATTACTATCGTAAAACAAATCTCGTATTATATTTCTGAATAAATATGAGCACAAGCCATCATCCAGGTTTCTCACCAGTATATTTGGGGAGAAAAATGGATTGTATCTGTTAATATTGAAAAAAATTTCAGTAGTGATGCAAATATTACATGTCATATTTTCACATGGATTTTCTTTTCAAAACAGCTTTTTGTTCTTGAGGGAGTGTCAAGTTTTGTGTGTTTTTGATTGGTTTATTTCTAAGTTGATAATTGCTTTGTCATGGAAAAGAACAAAATCTGAGCGTGAGCCATATGGCGTATGTGTAGTATGGTGCATTTTTCCTCTTGGAGCTTGATGGAACCTTGCAGCTTGATGGAACCTTGCAGCTTGATGGACTGACAAGATACCTGTACGTGTACATGTGTGTCCAAAAACTACTGGCATTTGCAGACAGGAAACTCTATGTCATGATTGATATTAGAACGGATTATCCTGAGAGAGTTGCTAAGAATTATGGGTGACTCGTGTCTGTAGGCTTATCATCCTCAAACACGTCCACTGTTCTTGTTTTCTTGACAAAAAATTACTCGGAGATTGCTCATAGGGTTTCACGTTTTTTTCTTTGCTTTTCTGTGATTGGGCATAGCTTTTAGTGTGTTGGTGACATGTTTCAGCTTAAATTAAAGATTTTGTTGCTTACATGTACACATGCTTAAGCCTGAGGGTTGGATAATGATTAGTTCCAGCTTAAGATTGAAATCTGTTGATGGTGGCCCCCTCTAGCAAAAGGAAATTACGCATGAGAATCATTTGGGAATTTATCTGAGAGTCACTTCCTGCCTTCATTCTTCCTGGCATGTTCAACACCTCGCATGGCGTCTTTAAACACCAAGGTTTTCTTGAGGGATAAAACACAATCACGATTCAGTGCGAAGGTAATCCTTCATACATGGCTGTCATACTAAGCCAGATGTTTTCACTTGTGTCAAAAGAGGTCAGTTCCCTGTCCCTTTTTTTTTTTTTTTTTGTTCTGGACATGCAGAACCTACCCTTTCCAAACTCAGAAATCTCAGTAATTTACTCCTGGCCCGTTAAGCTGTTACAAATACATGTATGTATCAAAATCAAGTGGTGTGGATTTTGAGGCTAAACAGTTTACATATTTATGGAATGGCAAGTAGAAAGTAGGCGACGCCATGGTCTGGAGAGTAAGCCCTTTGTCTGAATTGAGTAAACTTGTTTTTCCAGAGTGTAGAATGTCAATCTTTGCACTTTGCACTTGGCCAAATTTGCCTGTTCAAAGAGAGTCTTGTCTCTTGAATTTGATACTGGACTGAGTGGTTAAGGAAGGTAAGAGTGCCGAAATCAGTCATTGGAATTAAGATTTATTAGTTACAAGTACATGTGCTTACATGCCCAGGGTTCAAGAAGAGCTGGTCTGCCCATGGACCTGAAACCTCACTTGTCTTGCACTGAACGTGCATTACTCTGAAGAGGTTGCTTTCAAACGTATTGGCAAAGTACACTTGGAAAACATTCAGAACAGTAATTTTAGAAGATTGTATATGGGCGTGGGCCGGAAAGTCTTCATTATATCATGATGCTTGAATTTCCTTCTGTAACATTGTATGGGGATTTCTGTTTTTTATGAATACGTTTGTTGCTCAAATTCATTCTACTTTAATACAAAGCAAGGCTGTTTGAGTTCTTGAATTATTTTGTTTTACCAAACTGCTTACCAAGAAGAAGAAAATTTCATGTACTTTCATTGGATATGCATTTGCCAAAATTGTGATATGACCATCTTTGACAAACTTACAGCGAAACACAGCAAAGACAAATCATACACATGTGTACACGTACTTGCATAGAGTCTCAGATGTTATTTTTCAGTTTAGAATTGATCGGTATCACTGATGATTGGTTGTGTATGCCTAATTAAGAAAACAAGTCATCTTTTCCCAGGTATCCAAGGTCTTGAGAGAACAGTAATTTCATTCACAGATAAAATTTAGAAATATTTTGACAATATCATTTGATTTTCTCTTTAATTCATACACAAAGAATAGTTTCAGAACAAAAATTCAGTTTTTTTAAAAATCTTTCTCTGTTTTGTTTTCTTTAATTTATGCAGAAAGATCATTTGAACTGTGACCCAACCTTTGAATTGGAGGAAATGATTATCGAAGCCAAGCCTTTGCATAAGAAGAAGAAACGCCTTGCCAAGCAAAGCTCGAAGGGCAAAGACATTGTAAGTTGCTTCCTTGCCTTAAAAGCATGACTAAGTGTGTGCTGTATGGACAATTTCACTGAAAGAAGTGTACATCTGTAATTTTGGTAGTATGGTCTGAAACCTGAAATCATTGTGAAAAATGTAGTCCTGGTGGAAATTGAGAAAAATGTCCATTACAAATTGTAATGTCCTACCCATTACCTCTTCTGAAATTATGCAGTCGAGTATATGCGTAGCATACGAATAAGTATCTGGGATTAATATATCACATCCTGTCAGCATCAGCACGTACATCTACATTAAGAATGCTGTCTCTTTTGGCTGATGCTGAGTGTCCCTCTTCCCATCACGCCCGCTTGTTGCCTTGTGGGGAAGTGGGATTCTCCACTAGGGAGCTGGTGTGAATGTGTGGCCTGTCCTAATGGGATGTTTGGCAAAAGTTTAATGGCTGTTTGCTAGTATTCCGCCACAGGCTTGAGCAGAGTCATGGTGGGAGTGGACAGAGAGAATGCTGACGCCACCACTTGAGAAAAGTCTCTTAGCATAATGCTACAAACTGTCAGAATAAGTGGAACTTAGATATAAGTTATTGAATTATTGACTTTTGAAGAAGAAACTCGAAATCAGTCAGAGGTCATTTTTTATTAATATCATTAAAATGTGTTTTCTTGAAAAGAACTCTCTGTCCAAATTAGTGAAAGTAGCCACAGTATGGTATTGAAAATATTGTTTGAGTTTGTGTGATTGACTACAGGTGCATAATGTTTGCCCAAGAGGATGTGTCAAGTGTAAAATTTTATGGGTCCTGCATAGGCCCACCATGGATCTGTCATATGGCTGCCATGGGTCCTTTATAAGCCTGCCATGGGGCCTGCATTGGCCCACCATGGATCTGCCATATGGCTGCCATGGGTCCTTCATAGTCCTGCCATGGGGGCCTGCATTGGCCCACCATGGATATGTCATGTGGCTGCCATGGGTCCTTCATAGGCCTCGCATGAGGCCTGCATTGGCCCACCATGGATATGTCATGTGGCTGCCATGGGTCTTTCATAGGCCTGCCATGGGGGCCTGCATTGGCCCACCATGGATCTGTCATGAGGCTGCCATGGGTCTTTCATAGGCCTCGCATGGGGCCTGCATTGGCCCACCATGGATCTGTCATGAGGCTGCCATGGGTCCTTCATAGGCCTCGCATGAGGCCTGCATTGGCCTATAGTGGGGCCTGTCTTAGCCCACCTGTTACTTTGGTCTTGTGGCCCCTTAGAATATCACCATTCCAGTCTGATTGGCGGTGCCTCTTTTTGAATAATAAGAAGCCCTTGGTTTATTCTGCTATCTGCTGTATTTTTTTATGCTCTAGCAGAAGAATATAATGTTGCTTCATTTGGTCTGCCGTACATAATGTTGCTTCATTTGGCCTGCCATACATAATGTTGCTTCATTTGGCCTGCCATACATAATGTCATCATGGCTTGCCTACACAGACTGACATTCCTGACCATACACGTAGCCTCTGTACTTGTCATTACATGTAGATCTCTAATTGCTTGTGGTTGGGGATTTTTCTCCCTTTTTGCCGGTCTCTTTTTTGTAGGATGAAGAAATGCAAGCCCAGTTGGACAGCCTGAATGCAGAGTTTAAAGTCTACAACAGAGAAAAGTTAGTCTCTTTCATTACACCAATTTTGTCAATTTTGCAGAAACAAATTCAATTGTTTTTTGTTTTGTGTTTCAAAACTGAATCCCACTTTCCCTCATATCTCAAAAAATGCTCCTTTCCTACCTGGACTGCAAGTGATTCAGATTGATTGATGCATTGCACTGGCAGCCATATTGAAGCCCATGCCTGCAAGGCAGGGTTAGACAAAATGAGTAATTGAATAATACCTCTCAACAGACATGGACATATCAATAGTAAGCTTGATTATATACCACAATAGTCTGTGCCTAAGGTTGTGCAGTAGCTATCTAAATATAGATTCCAGGCTGGCATTTTTGCCGGTTTGTATTTTATGTTCTCTGTCCAAGGTTGCTGGTTTGCAGAGACACCGTCTGACAGTGAAACTCATCCCGTAATCCCTCACATTCTCATGAGGCTTTTTTTTTTAATGGAAGCCGACAGGGACACACACGTGCCTCCCTGGTGTTTGAGACTGACCTTGCCAGATCATTAATGTGATACTTTGCCCTGGTGAGATTGTTGCATGTTGTGATATTGTCTGGTGCAATCTGATGATGTGACTGCATCTGGGAAGCAAAAGAGGAGTGAGATATACCGGAGAGCATACCAGTGCGTTTGTTATGTATCGAGAAAGTGAGAAAGATTTATGAGAACAATTCAAATACAGCACAGGGTTTTTTTGGCTTTAAAAAATCGGAAAAACAAAACTCTGAGGGGCCAATCATTGTAGTATTTTCAATTTCTAGGCTTTCATTTCTATGCTTTTTTGATCCAGCAAAAGTGTTCCGTTGGTTGTTTCACCGTCATCATTCTAATGTAACTTGAGTTGTACGTCTTATCCTGTTTGCGGCAGACCTAATAAAAAAGAGACCACCAGCAAAGGCAACGAGACGAATCCCGAGGAAAGAATGGAGGATGGTAATACCAATCAGGAAGGTGCCATCACGACATCCAGCATTGAAATGCCGGTAGCCATCACAGAAAACACACCGGACAAAGAACAGAAACAGCAGGAAGAACACGAAGAACAGCAACGACAAGAAGAAGAGGAATTAACATCACAACAACAACAACACTCATCAACACCTTCAGGTGTCAGTAAACAAGCAGAGCTACCTACGGTTCAGCAGTAACGCACAGAGATTTTTCTGTACATATATACATACAAATGAAATATATCTAAGTCTTGGTAGTTTTCACGTCATTGTAGTAAAATAAGTGGTGCATATACAGGTATATCAACACCGTTAAGAAGAATGGATGGGGCTCTTGTTTCATGGTTTGTAATTTCTAAAGTGTGGGTGCCGGCAAAAGTGCTCCCCGAAAGGCCACTGTCTGTCAAGCAGCTAGGCTTGCGGTATCACTCACTGCCAAGATCTGTCAAGCTAAAGTGCATCAAACATCTCAGGTTTTATGCCTTCTCGACACATCTCGGCTGATTAGATTCACAGACAAATTGAGCAAATGATCTCCTTTGCAGGTCTTGTGTAATGGGACCTAACAATAAATGTTCCTGCTTCAGCCAAGGGGAAACATACTCAACCCCCCTCCCCCCATGACATGTATCACATTGTGTGGGATGGTTGGTGTACCTCTCTAGAACTTATCACTCATGTTATTTTGTACTCACTGTTATGCAAACAAACTGAGTTGCAAGTCGCATAACTCAGATATCGCAACTCAACAGGGTGCTGATCTTACATTTTGCAATTGTCATCCCAACTCAATTAATTTTTAAAAATATAATTGGCATTTGTCATCTCACAAGCTTAATCCTAACAGAAGAACACGTATGTACTTTTTTCACTGAATGTACCTCGAGATCATACATGTACATAGTTGTTTCTGAGATTTCCAAGTTAATAAGGTGAGAGATTTCTTACGAAAAATCCTGACGAAGATAAGGGTCTGAGATCCACACATATACTACAGTTCTGCTTGGTGCAGAATACCTGGAGTCATCCCATGTGGATTCTAACCCACCATCCAAAGATTTAAGTGACATAAATTAACTAGAACCACGACACAGTTTCCCCTGTCTGGTTTATAAAACTCACAATCGTTTGTGTTGTTCTGGATGGACTTTTTACAACAACCAGGACTAGAGATAATTTGTGCTAATTGTTTAAGAATTAGAACTAATGTAGGTGTTACAAGTTAAATATATTATGAAGTGGTATTGTGAAAATCTCATACAACTATTCCATTAAAATGTGTACTTGCCTTTAAATGCCATAATGCATGATTTTGCTTATCACTCTTTTTTCAAAAAAGGTTTCATGCACCCCTCCTTTTACCTAGTTCCCAGGTTTCCATCAAACATAAATTGTGGTGGCTAGGTAAAGAAAGGTAGCATTCCATCTGTGGTATGGGGATTTTTCAAGCAGCATTTCTCTGCCGGGAGGTAATGCTTGATTGGCCAAATAATTCCCACAGCATTTGCACCATTAGGCAGATTGTCCAGGGGTTTTCATCCGCACATTCACTTATCACTCTGTCTCTTCCCACTGAGACTATATGAAGCACTTAGTGTGGACCGCTTAGGGAAACAAAAATCATCTTATAAAGGGAACAGCGGTTAAAAGCATCTTTGCAAAAATCAAGAACATTTGGTAAAGCACCTTTGTCAGCACGGAAGGTTGTCCTGTCAAATTGGATCGGGAATTGTGACTTCAAGGAAGCTGGGACTGTTAAAAGGCGGACTGCTCTTGAAGAGGTGCTGGGGATCTGTTGCCAGGTTGTCTGAGGCATGGGGCAAGAGCGCCTTTTTTTCTTTTTTAGAGAGAGAAGAACCTATTGAGGAAGATTGCACCGATAGGAACAAAATGAAGATGCAGACCAAATGTCCTCCTGAGTAAGCTGACTCCAAGCCTTGTTTCTGTCGTGTGCTGTTAAGGGATCACATCATTGCTTACTCTTGGCTTGTGAGGGATTGGAATGCTTTATACATGTGCATGGCAATCGCTGTAAAAGTCAGTAGGACTTAATCTGAAACTGGATTCAGGATTCGGCGAACCTGGTCCAAATTATTCAACCCATGGAGAGCAGCATCCTTTAGAATGATCGCATCCAACACTTGTTGAATAATGAGCGATTGGAACTGGGAGCACACATTGATGACAGAAGATGAATCCTGAAAACCTTGCCTACCTTAATATTAATTGGATTTGGACCTCTTCCATGCTGACACAGGGCAGGGTGCCAACTTTATATCTCAACCCATCCATGCTGAAGCTGGAATATTACTGTTAACATCTGATCTTTTGGAGATCAAACCAAAACCAAGTTAAGACTTTGGAACATAAACAGTACTGATCCTCTGAAGTGCACAGCACTTTCATTTACAATGGTACGTCTGCACTCTGATCCAGTTCAATTTCACGGAGACAAGTAGAACGCATTATTTAGGAGGCAAAAAGAGAGTTACAGTTTTGTTGTTGATTCAAGTGACATTTTGACCCTTGATATAGCAGCAGAACCACTGAACAAGGTCCACTTGGAATTGGAACAAACAAGCCAAAACAGCTCATGCACAAGCAATTTACCTACATGCTGTACCACGTCAAACGGTCATCACCGGCAATTGCTTTGCGGAACTTGCCTCAACATGCTCTGAACAGTGACTGCAATGGACAATAACAGTATGTTGCCGTTCCATTATGTTTATTAGTGCCTAGAGCTAGACGATATTAACCTGTCTAGTAGAATAGAAGTATCAATATTTTTATCCCAGATGGTAAGTGCCTGTCAGCAACCAGTGACAAACATTTCGTAAATCATTCTTTGGGATATTGCATGTACTAGCAGCCTTCCAAATCCAGGGGTGCCAGACACATCGATACAAACTATATTTATGCATGAAATGATGAGTAGATGTAGCTTTTAGTGATGTCCAAAGAATTATTATTTACCAATTTTATTCCTCCATTCTGTTGATACCAAGGATCGTGTTGAATATTAAAAAGGAAATTGTATATAGATAATGTGTAATGTTCTCGCAATGTTTGTCTTGTTTCCTGAGGAAAAGGTAGTGTCAGTGTGTCAAATCATGGCCTTGTGAGAAAACCAATGTGATTTTTTTTTCTTTCTTTAAAATTTGCTCGTCCAGCCACAGGACAAAAATCAGATGGTCATTGCCACTCATGCCGCTGCTGTATGTAGGTCAGTGTGGTCAACAGTTACTTGGATCTTTGGGGTATTCCCCATATTGTGAGTTCAAACTGTGAGTTGTGGTGTATGTTCTCTTATCTTGCTTTAAGCGGGTAACTGATATAACTGAAGAGATAAGGGAATTGTGGGTGAACTTGCCAATAGATAAAGCGGTAGGAGTGTGGTGCCTAAAGTCTGTATCTCAAGATTCATTGGTATGACAGTACCTTTGTCTTCAGGACACCAGACAGAAATGCCTCATTTGGACTTAATTGTCACTCCAAATCATTTCTCCAGTTAATGTATTAATGATTGGATTATTTGTTTGTCATAAATCACATTATTGAGTTGACTTGTCCCTGGTGATTTGCTCAGCCATGTGATGTACATGTAGGCATGCATATTCAGCATTTCTGTGTCTGTATTAAGTGGCAGGTGCACCTCATTGCCCTCCCAAAGTACAGTGTACTGTGTTATACTCCATTAGTTTCACATGGCATTGCACTATTAATTGAGGGGAGGAACCAGCATGGTATTGGTTGCTAAAACTTATCTCATAATCACAACAAGCATCAATGCAGAAATAAACCTCATCGAATTCGTGTTCAAGGGTTTGCTATAGTGGTTTGTTGCTGTGGCCTTCAGTATGATGTATGAAGTGCGTGATCCCTATTTTCACGAAGGCCTTCATTAAAAAAAGTGGCATGCCAAATTGGCAAAGTCTATATTTGCTAACACAAGTGCGCATGGTCAAGTAAGATGGAGGTTGTATTGCCTAGATGCTGATTCATCATCTTATTTGTGTTTGGTATGTTAATGCCTATAGAAGGTTTTTTTTTTAGAACCTTGCATCACTGAAACAGTGATACAACGTCATAAAGCCTCATGTCATATTAGTGGGCCATTCAAGTCATCAGTGATCTATGATACAGGAGTGTATATTAACTCAATTGATAGCAGAATAAAGGAACCTGGATTACAGACAGCTGTTGTGGCAATCAATCTGCATGAGACAACACTGGATGTTTACCTCAGTAAACTTTCCTTTTTTTCTTGCTATCAAGGACCGAACCTGTCCAACTTGTCAACATCCTGGTTAGTTATTGCCTCTAGAGGCGAGCTGGAATGAGCTTGCTTCATCTTGTTGAAATGTCAACTCTAAATCTGTACTTTTAGAAACAACAAAACTGCCCAGCAGTTGAAGGGTTGATCCTTAGAATGTGAATTTGTATCCAACTCGTGTTTTGCTAACTGTAATTGGATTTTTAAACTGTGAAATGTCTTTGTACCTGTATGAAGTTACAACTGAGGGAACATCTAAAGAAATGCATGTACAATTTAGGAGTTGATATACCTAGCTATTTGGAAATGGTCATTGGAAATACCACAGTTTGGGGGGTTGGGAGTTGCACTTTTCTAAAAGAGTCCAAACATCTATAACTGATTATCATTAACACACACAGTCCTGAATTATTTTTTATGTTCGTCTTTGCCTTTCTGTTAACATGTATTACATCTTGCCATACCTTTGAAGGACGGTTTGTTTTTATATAAAGGAAAAATGAGCAAATATGAGTAGATATTCTTCCCCCCTTGCACCGTCCACCTTTATGCAGTGTTTGTTCATGCACTTCCAGAATATAGAACACTTGCTGTCATGATGGTCCACTTTTCCCCAACCCATATAGGATCTAGCATCTATACTACTTCAGTAATTCCTCTGTCATTCCCACTTGCAACCAATCTAGTTTTTTCTCATAACCTATTTACTGGTTGTTACAGAGGAGACATTTAAGGTTAATAAATACCACATTTGACCTCCTTTATAAAAATGTAGAGCACTGTTTTGACCAACAACTGGAATTTGGTCCTGAATCCATTTTCTGTTAATTCATAAAAGAAATTCATTTATTGTTGAGAAGGTTTCCACCTTGTTGCCAAGACCATCTTAGTCCCTGAGGTAAATGATTAATTATGGATTAGGAATGATTAAGCTTGTCACCTCTTTCAACAAGCCCAGGGTTCACTTCTCATTTCTATCCCAATTGTTATGACTTTACAAAGATACTAGAGAAAATACTACAGTTGTTGGTCTGGTATCTCCTACCCGGGTTGGACATGATGGAAACACAAGAAAGCATGACTCTCTCTGCCTGCCTCTAGCAGCTAGAGATCTGAAAGCACAGATGAACCTGTCTCATTTTTCCAGGGGGAAGAAGGGGAGATGTTGACACCCTCTATCATTTTCCAAAGAGCATTAAAGGGTGTCGTAGTGGGGCCCTGGAAAAGGCACTCACAGTTTACTTTCACCAATTCTCAGTTGATTGGATAACAATTCTCTCTTCTGTAGTGATGATACCTTTTATTGGGAATTCATATCACTATTTTTCAAAGAGGAGTCAAAATATTGCTTTAGTGGTCACAGAGTGTGATGAATACCTCCCATAGGGAGATTCTGCCATCTGGTTTTGAGTATTTTGTTCTGTGTGAAAGGAGAATTTGGTGTGAAAGTTTAAGCATATCTTCTCAACCTGATACCCCAAACTTGTTTGTAATGTCATTTTAAATAGCAACATACATGTAAACTATAAATTTGGTTATTTCACAAATGAATTAAGTTTAATTTGACACATGTCATTGCTTCATTCCTTCGCTGAACTTTCTCCTTGTTCAATAGCTGTACACTTAAGCAGATTTTTGAGACATTTTAGTTAAATTCTCATAAGGGAAAACTTTTAAACCATTCTACCTGTTTTGTAATGAATTCATGACAAAACCACGGACTGTAAGCTCTTGTGAATTGTGGTCGAATTCTGCAGTCAATAATCATGATTATGATCGTAACCTTTGTTATTGGTCATACAGTATTCCACTAATTATGCACACGCTTAACTTGCAGCCACATCTTATGTTGCATATTTGTTCTGGAACATCAATTATCTCGTGGACGTTGGCAGGTGCCAAAACCATCTAATTTCAAAAGCTTGTGATGCATCAACTCGGCATAGGTTAAGATTTGGCCTGAACCATGCAAGCCTAACAGAGGGCCATCCCAGAAAAGTGATCTGTTTATGGATTGGTTCCAAAATTAAATATATTTTTTATTTAATTCTGTTGATATAAGAAAGTGGCACATGTTCAGAAAAATGTTAAATGAGACATCGTAAGAAATGATGTTCAACCATGTCATAGTACCTTCTGTCCTGAAGATGACCAAAGCATCCTGGTCAAGACGTCAAGTTCACACTCACCAGGTCTTCTCAGAGCTACCACTCTTATAAAGAACTTGATTCCTCAAGGTATACCTGCAAATCATTTCTCTGTATTATATACCTTGATTTTCAGAGCAAATGTTGCTGGCCGAAGTAGAGATGTTCAAATGTTCAGTGATTGAAAGCATTTCAGTTCCCTGTGGACTGGAGGAAAATAGCAGGCTACTCCCTAGTGAATGCCAGTGTCTACCGCCCTGGGGGGAGAGACACAGGTGGGGAGAGGAGTGGCTTGCCTGACAAGGATATGACAAATGGCCAACCTCTGACCCATGTAGTAGCTTTGATGAAGTTTATGTTATTTTCTTCAGCACTTTAAGCCTCTTAGTTGCTATCTTTCCACTCAAGAAATCCACTTGTCCGTCATCAATCATTGCAATCTTATTGTATACCATTCATTCTGGCGGGGAGTGTTCCTTGCCTATGTCCAATGCTGTGCTTCATTCTCAAAGGTGAAATTACTGCTTGCATGCAATTTCTGTTGCATTGATTCAGCTGAGTTGAGGATAGACAGTGTTTAGAGCAATTCAGCTTCACTGACACAGTATGTCAAAATCAAATTGGTTTTTTTTTAATTTTAGTCAACAGTGCTCCTTTTATATTGTATCACACTTTTAAGTTTTCAAAAAAAATGATAAGGAAGAAATTATGAGAGATAAGATTCTTGCCTCTCACCCTAAACTTCAATATGTATCCAATAAGTGGTTTGAAAATAAGTATCTGTTTTTTGTATGTTTTTGAAAGTTATGGTTGTATTAAACATTGAAAAAGTTGTGAATAAAATTATTGACAGCAATTCATCAAAATACTTAGTTATTCCAATTCAACACTGCCTTGTGAGATGTTTTTATGATAAACTACTGAAATGGTAAGTTTTAACACACAATTGTCATTATGCAGAAGTCTAGAAAAAATTATGTGCGTTGAGTACCCACAGAGACATGTTTAAGGTGCAGTGTTTTTGAAATGAACTAAACAAAAATCTTTGTCATAGAATTCAAGTTTTTCAAGATTCAAACACCTTCATTCTACACTTCTACTGTTATGGGACCATCTCATTCAGATACAAACATTTCCAATAAGCAGTTACATTCTATAACCAATCCCCGGACCGAATTAAGATTCCCTAATTATTTTTGCTATGGGAAATATGTCTAGGAAGACAATGAAATTCTCTACTAATCGGACTGATTTGCCTTTTGAGATCGGAGTACATATATTATCTCAAATTTCAGTTCTTTGTGTTCCTGTAATTGGTGATCTCTGTTCCAAAATACCAAGAACCTAGAGGCATGGAAAGTACTGTGAAAAGGTAGCAAACCACGACACTATTTCAACATGTAAAAAATGTTCAGAAATGCGTGTAATCAGGAAGACGTTTAAAGAAGCTAATATTTAATGCACAATGTTAAGCAGTCTGCCATCTCAATCAGTAAGTGCTAAATGACATTGGTAATATAAAGCTGAATATATTTCCTGTACACATGCTGGCACTTTGAGTTTTATATCTTATATTTTGTTTACACCTGCAGAAATTGTAATGCCAGTGGCATTCAAATATTGCTTTGAGAACATGTTTTTAACAGTTTTCACGTTTATAGTTGTTAGACCCTATGTGGATGTTTTACAGTTCTTATGAAGGGACCTGTCGAACTAATCTACTTGAAAGGTCATATTGTTTCTATTTTAGAGAGAGGTTTGCTTTTATATGTTTTATTTTTACCACTGTTAAACTTGCCTTAACTTCTGTTCATTTACCTTCAGCTAAAACCAGTTGTTACTATTTTGGGGTTCCCTTTGTAATCACATTTCAAACCTTTAAAAGACATATTTCGAGGAATGGAAAAAACTTTTAGCCCTCAAATTCAGCGTATTATGATATTTAAAAATGATTGAAGATCAATTTCTGTTGTAGTTCAGTGCAATATTTGATGTAGGTATGAGTTGATGTTGCTTAAAATATTGGAACCTGTTTTGCAAGTAAAGTTCTTAAGAAAACTAATAGGGTCATGCTTGTGGATAACAATAAGACTTTTTCAGCACTATTTCAAATAGTTTTCACATTTTAATTAATGAAATGCATATTAACCCTGAAGCCGCACAACCATAATTCCTTTTACCATTTTAGGCTCTACATGAGTATAATGTCAACGATATTGATATCTTGTTATAACTTGTAGTAAGGTCTTAGTAAGTCGGTCTGGCCTGCTGTATTTGTGTACAGAAGGACGAAAAAGGTCTAATTACAAAGCATTTTTCAGTGTGTCTACTAATTTGATACGTCAGTGTTGTTTCGTGACAAAAGAAAGTGCAAGTAAATAACTCGGACACGAAAAGGGTTAATTGTATCAGTAACTCGCTGTCCACTGTTGTGTATGCCATCCATTATACAGAAGTTGATTTTCTGGAATCTTAGAAAACTTTTCGAGATTTTGTATGGCATTAGTTGGTTAATATTACGCCTGTAAATACGGTTTGATAAGAAGACAGTATAATAGTTGCATTTTATTCTGTAGGAATTGCATGTTACAGTCACGTGCTTGTCTTTTATTTGCCGAAACAGCAGAAGCACCCTTATGGTTGGTTATTTTCAACTTGAAACACGGGCGTTTCACAATACCACACCCAAAGAGTTTTTAACGCGTTAGCCAATCACCGTGCGCGAAATCTGTCAACCCAATGCGCGTTTGGAAAGGGTTGACAGATTTCGCGTATTGTGATTGGTCAACGAGTTGTAAACTCTTGCAGGCGCGCTGTTGTGAATCGCCCGTATTGCAGAATATATTTGCACGGATGAGGGAAAAATTGGTGAAGAAATAGGGGCATTTTGTTGAATGTTTGTTCAAGATATCCCACACTTTTTTCTGCAGTAGCCAGTTTGGCGACCTATACTGGGAATGCGCTCTATTGCTCGCAAGTTGTACATGGTGTGAATTTCAAGCGCGTATGCATTTTACCGAATCCAGTTACGGGATATGACTACACTCTACGTGCTTCAAATCGATTTATCCTTCATTTTCCGCGAAAACAGGCTTACTCATTTGGAGCAAATGTCACATAAAAATTGTTGTAGACTTTCCTTATCCTTGAACAAAAGTCTTTCGATAAAAATAGTAACTGTTTAGGGGATCTTTGCTGAATGATTTTGAAGTTTATTTTACCCAGCGGTTTTATTCTTTAATCCCCTCTTGTAATTCTTGGTGTTTTGTATCTAATAACACAAGTACACTGACGCAAAAAAAAAAAATCGGTTGATTGCCTTCGACTTAATTTTGTCCTCTTTATATCCATTTTGATTTTACTTTCTTAGTGTTGACCGATTCTCTTGTCCTGCCGGGTGAGTACTGAGTAAAGAAGTTGGGCAGCCACAGGGTGAATGAAGGGGTGATACTGGGACGGATTACTGGACTATCAAAAAAAAAAAATTCACCCGTTTACAGGAGGTACATTTTGGTTCCACCGCCGTCGTTGCCATTGTTTGGTCAGCCTGAAGAGTCCAAACATTTGCAGTGCAACATCGTCTTTACATCAAATATCATTTCTTAAGAACATTTTGAAAAAAAAAAAATTCGACGAAGCGGTAGCAAAAATGAGTTATTAAGAGATGAGACATAAAACAGAAGTCCCCACCATAAGACACCGAAACCACGGTGTTATCGATCAAATCCAGCCAATGTTGGGATGATAGAAATATAATCTCAGCCTAAAGGTATACTGGACTGTGAAATGAACGTCACATCACTGGCTTAGTTTTGTTTCTTGCGGGATATACATGCAAAAAGAGCGCTCTACGTGCACCCAATTACTGACTGGATAGAGAGCCAACCCACTAGATGTATTGATAAACTCGTTGCATTAAGCATGGTATTGGTTTAACGAATACAGAGCTGCCGTTTCTCAGCAAATCTGTCGCCAGTAGATCATTTTTAAAAGCTATTCATTTCCGGGAAGTTAGGCCCATTAAGGCTGGGTCACGTTTACGTTTCTCTTTTACAAATATACTTGGGGGTCATAAATTTGTAATGAGTTTGATAAGTATTTCCAGACCTTTTTTTTACAAACGTAATTAGATTTTAAATTTTTAATCAGCTTGACAAGCTTTTCTAGATGATGTTTTTTTCTGACTCTAATCTATTGAATGTGCCAACTATACCTCTCCCGAGCTGATTAAACTTGGACTGTCCTGGCAGGCGACATGTATAAAGCACAACCGATCGATTGTTGAGTGAGGGGGTCTTCTCAAAAAAGTCGTTTCTTGCCAAAATATACAAAAAAGGGTTAATTCAACTAGATTTGGAAGGTGGTTCACGAACGACCAGGAAATGCACGCGTCACGGTCGCATCGCTACCAACAAATTGAACACTCCCGACCAACGCGGCTTTTTTCAACCGATAAGGAGGAATGCGCAGGTTCTGCTTGAGGTGGAATTATGTTTTCTTCTCGTCTTGTCTGTTAAACAGGCTGGACTGGATTTGGTTGCTATACTCCAAAGGTAATGTCAAAGGGTTTTGGAAAGAAAAATCGAATAATAAACCAAACTGAACATTCAAACATTAAAGAAAACAAGAAGTGGGAGGGTCCGCTTAAAACCGCGGTTTAAACTTGGAGAGCCCCTCCCACTGCTGAGATAGTCATACGCTTGGCCGTCTTTTTGCACTGACACCACGTAGCACTTGTAGGGCATCTGACTGGATTGTCTTGCAGTTGGACTGGTCCCCGTCCCTATTATAAACGCTGTATATAAGGCGCGGAGGACCAGTTATTATGTTGATGTATGTACGCATTGGGTAGGTCGTTCTGCTGTTCACATTGATTCGATGTGGTGCTGACGATAATGGTTAATTTGATTAGTTCAACACCTTGAGCATCGGCCAGTGTTCATTTGCAGAAAATCGATATGAATATCTTTCCAAGGACAATCACTGGTGCTTTACATGGCCAAAATAAGATTGCCTGTGACTGGTGAGTTTAGTCTTGTTTGAATCGTAGAAATGGGTCACTGGCATGACTGGCTAGAAATTGTAGGCCTGTTAAAGCCATAGTTTGACGATAGAGTCGATGGGGCACTAGACCCAAATAAATAAACATTTCGGGGGAGGGGTGCTGATGTATATGCCTTTCTGTTATATATGTTGTACTTCTGCAAAGGTATTACATTATTCTCTGTGCATCAAACATGTCAAATGTATATTTACATTACTGTCAGACGTATCGCATGGACATGATGGACATTTCATCATGAATGTAGGCCTACATCATGTACTTAATTGGGGCCTATTAATCTCGTGTTCCCCTGCCATGCCATGGAATTCAAGATGGAGCTTTAGTTATGAAAATACTGCCATATGATATATGATAAGTGGGAAAGAAACTACAGTGTCAATGTTGGATTTAAAAAGCATTTAGAGACACAGGGATGACATGGTTAATAATGAGCTTAACCCAGCAGCATGCTCCACAAACACATTACACAAAGAAGTCGTAAACATTCTTTATTATGTATCAGTGAAGCTTCCAAGTTCCAGTGAGTGACCAGAATAAGCCAAGAATAGCAGGGTCCTCTTGGAGGGAGCAGACCCTGAGTTCAAAGGATAAGACCAGACATGAATCTCCCCATGGCTTTCCCTGAAAGTTACTTATTCTTACTTACTGCACATGCAGTGCTGTTAACATCGTTAAGTGCGTACTTATGGTTCCCCACATCCATTCAGTTTTTGTTTCCATTTTTAGGGGCTGGCAGTCACTGGTTGCATATGGCTGTCACACGTCTGTAGTAGTGGTTGATACCAAAGCTGTCCAGGTAAGCATATATGTCTTCAAGATGGTTGTCCGTCCAACCAGTTCACCCTTCAAAAACACAAATGAGCCTCTAGGGTTGATGGCCAGTAATTCTTTACTTGGCCCCACAATGTCCCTTGTTTTTCCTTTCCTCTTTTGCAGAGTTGTCCTAACAATACTCCGATTAAAATAACATTTCTTCATCATAATGGCAAGTTTTAGAGCTTTTTCAAGACTTGGTATCAGGGACATTACAGTTACTAATTTGACAAAGTTGTAAGGGGACATTTTCCAATAAAGCAAACTTTTTGGACAGGAATTTGCTACCTGAAGAAAACAACAGCTTGGCAAGAACTACATGCTGTTGTTTGGTTTTGTACTGTGTAAAGTGAGCACTATTCTTTATTTGACTCCAATTGACAGGTTATTCAGACACTTGAGAAACACAAGAGTAATGTGGTGAAGGTTAAATGGGCTCGGGAGAACTATCATCACACCATTGATGCTCCGTACACCCTAAGGCTTGCCACTGCGGATGCTGGAGGTCAGATCATTGTCTGGGATGTGAAGGATGCCTCTGACAGAGCCAGCTTCAATGAAGGAAGCAAACCAGTCTTAGGTAAAGCCGACCACTTTTGTTGACCCATGGAAAGTCTTCCTCTTCCCCCAAAGTTCCTGGAAGGTCTAGTAACCTTTGTCTCCTGTTCATCTCTGACTCTCATCCCTTGTCAACAGATTTAGAGTGGTTGTCAACCCAAGATGCTTCTCATGATCTGCTGGTTGCATTACATCCACCGTACTCCATTGTACTCTGGAACGCTGACACCGGTACCAAGCTATGGAAGAAGACATTTACTGATAACATCATCTCCATGACCTTTGACCCCTTCGATTCCTCCAATCTTGCATGTAAGGAATCCTTTCCCGTTCTAGTATGAAATGCAACTCGAATGAATTATCTCAAAATATCGTTTGCAAGTAAAATTACTAAAAAGTATTTGGAGCAGAGTGAAATTCAGTGTATCTATCGTTTAAAAAAGAAAGCAAGTTTTGCAATCAACCATGAATCTTTAACATTCTTCGTTAAACAGTGCTGGGTAATGACTGTATCCTGTTCCTCAATGACTTCAGCATCACTAAACAGCCATCCAGCAATGGCCGTAAGTTCTACATCACAGTGCCGGGTACCAGTGGTCCCAGTCCCTCATCAAGCAGCACTAATCTATCAGGCGGGTCAGACAAGAAGATTGGGAACCGGTTCCGAAGGGTTCGACTGCTGGTGGGAGATAACAAGCCCAGGTGATCATTTGAATTCAGACTTCATCTTGTCGAGAGTGAATTGAGACCTGATTGAAGGGACTTGGCCAGACTAATTTGTAAAATGTTCAAAAATAGTGAAACATCAGTACCCAATATTACAAATTTGTAGAATTGTTTTGTCCAATTATTAACAATGTTTTCCTTACAATTTCTAGAAATTCTCAGCTGGCTGTTGAAGACACAGACCCCATCGCTCTCAATGAGTGTCTTCAGATGACTTACCTTCAGTCCAGGAGGCAACATCTCTTGCTGGTGTATCCTAGGGAGATTCTTGTCTTAGACCTTGACATTTATCAGACAGTAGGGATGATCCCCATGGAACGTAGCGGCAGCCCCTTCCAACAGGTTTACCCTTGCAAGTAAGTATTGCATCTAGATGCTTGGATCTTTAAAGGGTTGGGGTCCATTCTAGGACTGGGAGTTTTTCTTTTTTTGGTGGTGAGGAGTACTTGGAAATTTTGACTTTAAGGACAAGACAAGCACAGAGATGTTCAAATATGTATTTGTGAAAGTATGAAACCTTCAGTAATGTGTATTAGTTTAAGATAATACAGATGTTCCATTTTTCAGAATTTCCAGAAAAATTTTGAACTCTTTTAGCTATCTAACAGAGGAAGGGCATAGCTGTGGGTAAAACTGGAACTCATTCTGTGCAGTATTCATTAACAACAAAACAGACCCAAGAATCTGAACAGGATCAGACAGCTGAAGAGAGATTGTAATTTTCTTTGAATTTTTTCTCCAGACAACGAGATGTTTTGCTGTGTCTCCATGAGAATGGAAGCATCAGTGTCCGAGTTCGTCGTCGTCCCCGACCTTCCACAAGCCCAAGCACAGCAACACCTGTCGATCAAATTGGTAACTTTGTCGGACTAACAGGTACTAACACACTAACCTAATTCCTAATATCTGAAACTCATGATTTCAAAATTCCTGAAAGTGCATTGTGTTGGACATACTGCGCCTACAGTACAAGATTTCAGTTTTTTTGTACGAGGAGTCTTTGTTTCTTATTGTAATGAAATGTTTTTGTTCCAAGTTAGAATGTTTTCACTTGGATGGTGATGCCAAAATTGTACTATACATTGTACATCTGTCCACAAAATGTGTGTGCAAACCAGTCTTGTTTTTACCTGGGTAATTCCAGAAATTAGGAGTTCAAAAGTTTGTGTGTCTCTGTTACATCTGACCTTTGTTATTTGATATGAAAATATCACCGGAATTGATTTCAAACTATTGCTATTTGTTTGGCAGGTAATTCACATTAATTCATCACTCTTGGTAATTAGGAATTTGTTCTGAACTTACAATATCATATGTCAGATTTGACACGGACATGAAAAAAAATGGACCCCAAATTTCTGGAATTACCCACTTGTAGATGTTAGAAATATTATTTTCAGGAATTCTTTGAAACTTTTAATCGTCGTTTTGTACTGTCAGAAATTTTTCAGACTGACTCTTTTGTTGCAAACTCTTTCAGTCTTTAACTAGAAAAATGGTTCCTTTTTTGTTTTTGAGTGTAATTTCTACTGTCTTTCAATAGGTGGTGACTCATTTCTATCACATGACCCCCATGATGTCATCTACGACCTTCGTTGTCAATCAGACCCCTTGCGAGTCACTAAGCACATGCGTGCCTTCGGTCTAGCCTGCTGCATGTCCACTGAGCGTCAGATGGCTCTCTTAATGAGCGATGGGCGGCTCTTGATCTGGTCCCTGATGACAGTTGACCATGCCCCCAGTAGCACCAGTAATGTCCACACACAGATGGTCCTGTCACCACTGTACTCACCAGGCATTGTGCCCGGTGTCACCAACAGTGACTTTGAGTTCCTCCCGCCACTGTCAAATTCAGGTGGACACCAGATCTTGCCACATCCTAAGGTACTATTGGTATTTTTCAGTGCATGTATGCCAGTATTTTTTATATTTTATGTCACAATCTTTCCTTCCTTCCAGGCTCAATTTTTAAGCAAAGTGCTTAACAGATTTCTGTGTTAAGTAAAACTAAGCCAAGAGGCAGTATCAAGTAATATAATTTGTAGGGCACTTTAGCTGGTAACTGGTTTTTGCAAAACAGCTATTTTATTGGCTTAGCAGCCCTTAGCAACTTGGTTGTAGGGTGTTATGAAGCTCAATGAAATGCTGATTATTCATCCAATAGCACCCATGCTTGATATTTCTATGCACAGATCTCCATGGCTGATTTGATATGCCAGACAGACGTAGCAGGAGACCCCATCAGTACCCAACCACAGCAGCAGGGGCGTGGTGTGATCTTGAAGTTTGTCTTGACCGGTCTGAGTTGTGGTGTGGCATCAGTACCAACCATCATCCGTATGTGCCCACCAGTGACAACAAGGAATTTACATAAATATAAGCCCTTGGCTGCATTAGGTGAGCGTTTACCCCCTTTCCTTACCCCCCGCCCCCTTCCAAATTAATCATCTCTCTGGAACCATCCGTACTTGAGAACTGAACATCTTACAAAAGTCCAAATATTTTTTTTGGGGGGGGATTATTTTATTTTGAATTATGACAGTACTCTGTTTAGGCTACACTGCTCATTTGGTTGTTTATTGCTTTTTATATTTCAGGTTCTTCTACTGGTCTTGTGCAGGTGTATAATTTGACAACAGGTTCCTTGTGGCGGGAGTATAACATCCACACTTGCTCAGTAAGGTGAGGACACATGCTTGCTTGTTTCTGTTTCAATTTAAGATTTATTTATCAGTCTTTATTCGACCAAATGTTACTGTCCCTATCTGCAGTGTAGAATTGAATCTTACACATTAAAACTGCATTATTGTACTAAGATATATCCTTGTTTAACACACTAAAATGTGTTCTTTCATTGAATACTCAAATTAAATGTGTCACATTTTCAAGCTCCTACTCATGTATTAGGTTGCACTTTACTCCTTTCTTTGCAGGGGTATTGAGTGGGTGAGTTTGACCAGCTTCCTATCCTATAGCTATCCCAACCCACCAAGCAATGGTCTAGTCCGTAATGAGCTATTACTCCTTGATCTTCTGACGGGTCGTACCATTCCATTGCGGGGGCATAAAGGAGATGAGGCTCCAATTGAGGCTGTCAAAGTATCCCACTTAAAGTAAGTATTGATACAAAGTTGCATTTGGGGATGGATTCAACAAAAATATGTTTCCTTGATTATGAAGCACTTGAAACTTAGTTTATTGTAAAATGTCACATGAATGTTAATTTTAAATAATTGAAGAAACATTTTGTGGATAATTCTAGGCAGAATGTGCTCATTGTGATTACAGGCAGTACTTCATTGTGATGTTGAAGGAGAAGCCGTTTGAGATTTGGGATTTGAAGAACAGGACTATTCTTCGAGAGATGCCAGCTAATTTCCCCATCATCACAGCACTGGTAAGATAGTCCATGTTTTCATCTAGGAGTCCTTGACTTACTGAAACATAGCTGCCAAGGCATCTTTTTCCAACCTTCCTCCATCTTTTAAAATCTTCCATAGCCAGATGACTTTTGAAGGGGTCTGAGATTGATAAGATTGATAGGCCTTCTTTACATCAATGTTTTAATTGGGGAGTCAGATTGGCGTACTGGTTCTTTCCTCGCCTTCCACCTCTGCGGTTGGGATTCAATTCCCAGCCCGGTCCACATGTGGATTGGGTTTTCAGTCCCTACCTGATTCCGTGGGTTTTACCCAGAATATTCCTTTGGGGTTTTCCTCCCACGTCTAAAACTGTAACTGCTCCTCTCTACAGGTTTCTTCAGGCTTATGAGCTACAGTGTCCAGGGTGCTTTTGAGGAATCCTTGGTGTCATTACCAGAAATGATTAATAATAATAGCATAGACATGTGCCCCAAGGTGCTGTTATCAGTCAGTTGATCTGTCTAGTATTGTTTCTGTTTTAGGAATGGTCCCCAACTCATCACAAGAAGCGTTCGGCCATGTCCATCCAAGAGACTGTTGGTAGCTCCTCCCTACTGGATGCTTCAGGAAGTTCTCATATCCTAGGTATGTGTGGATACTCAAAATCCTGTTGTTGTTTTTTAAAAATCTTAAGTTACATTTCTACCCCTGCCGCCCTCCAGTCTGGACCCCTGCCACCCTCCAGTCTGGACCCCTGCCACCCTCCAGTCTGGACCCCTGCCACCCTCCAGTCTGGACCCCTGCCACCCTCCAGTCTGGACCCCTGCCACCCTCCAGTCTGGCAGTTGAACAATGCTGAACGCTTTAAGGTTAAATGTTTTTTGTAATATCCCCATAATTGGATTGTAAAGTGTCAGAACATTTCAGGTTGAACCAGGTAAGGAATTTTCTGTATGTTCTATGATGACACCATTTTAGCAAGTATCCATCAGATGAAAATTTAGATTTTGTAGAGATGAGAATTACCAGTCAACATAGTTTTAAACCCTCTGTCCATTTACCAGCATCCTTAAACATACCTATTTGCTCCAACACTCGGTGTTATACACGGGTCAAGATATCCAGGAAGCCCCAGAGTAAATGCCCATTCAATGGTTAGGTTTCTCATTACAGATGGCAGCGGTGATAGTAAGATGTCACAGGTCACAGCCACCAGGGAACATTTCTTCTTTGCTGAGAGCAACCGCATGTTGCATCACTTCTGGGTAGAAGGCAGCTTGGTCAAGGAAGGTTCACGGTTACCCTCAGACAGTGGACTGGGGTCCATCACCTGCATGACATGGAAAGGAGAGACACTGGTGATGGGCGATGCTGACGGGATGCTTGGAGTTTGGGATCTCAAGGCTAGGGTGTCAAGGTAGGGGTGAGAT